ATGTATTGACTGTCCAGAACAGGTATTCGCTGGTCACACCATATGTATTTTATGTATTTAATGTTTCATCTAGGCTTCTGGCGAGGCAGAGTTCACCAATGACATGCCTTCTTCGTCAAAGAAAGGGGTGTGTGGATCTTTCAGTCCTGACCTCTCAATTGGCTGTGGTACTATTGACCACATTGATCCCTTCGGAAGCATTGGTAACATTTTCTTATTTTCTATAAATCTTCTACCTGTACTTTTTATTAACATTTACATCGATTGGTTCAATGGTGTACATATTCTCCATAGATGGAGCATGCTGCACAATAGGTTATCTTGAAACGTACGTTCCAGTTCAACTAACATGAAAAGGTAGCGACTGCTTAACAAGAATTATAGCAGAATCAGTGTAAACTTCCATGAACGTGCTGTCGGAATGCATGGATGACGCAGATATGTCACTGTGTCACCAACATCATTAGAAGCATTAAGCACACGGTCATTCTTCAGAGTAAGTAAGATAGGTCCAAGACCTGGAAGCCACAGGAAGACCTATGACCGTATTGAGCCTTGTCCTAGTCGATGCAATTCAGAACTGCTCGAGAATGTAGAGTGGCAGTCCCACTATCCACCCGGCCTGCCATCAGAAGGGGGCTGCAGGAACCTACGTTATCGATGGCCGTTGTCGCCTCTGGAGACGTCGTAACGAGGGCGCCGGGAGATGATCCATGTGGCTGAACTCTATGGTGGCTCATTTAAATGACTGATCAAATTGTTGTTAGCCCCAAGTCGTGAAGTGACCACACCTTCCGGCATTGTTTACAGTCACGTTTTTGGTATGCTCCTCAGTTGCCGTGTTGTTTTAACCAGGGGTTAACTTTTTATACCCGGGATATGGTTTGCAAAACATAAACAACAGCATGTAGGTGTATTCCTACTTATCATATAAAAAGTGGGAGTGTTTGTCCAACTAGCGCGCTTTCTTTGCATATTTGTCCGCGAATTCGAGTTCTTATGTGTGAATAGAATTGTGTGTGTGTGGCTGTGCATATGATGTTTGTGTGAGTGTGCGTGCGCCCATGTGTGTGTGCGTGTGTGTGTGAGTGAGTGAAGGTTTAGTTTTACGCCGCACTCAGCAATGTTCCCAGCTATTTGGCGGCGGTCTGTAAATAATCGAGTCCTGAATAGACAATCCAGTGATCAAAACCACTTGAGCATCGATCTGCGCAATCGGGAACCAGTGACATGTGTTTATTTTGGTGTGTTTTGTGTGTGTATTATGTGTGTGTAAAGGGGATGGCTGATGGGAGGTGAGAGGCAATTACTAACCATTCTGTTTGTACATGCAGCTGATGCCAGGGAGTTGTCGACTTCATCACAGCCAAAAGATGCAGTCGAGAATAACCTCATGCGCCAAGTTTTCCCGGCATGCATTTTGTGTCACTGAAGAGGTAAATACGGTTGAATGATTAGTCGCTAGACAAAACCCCGAGTAATTGCCTCTAAACGCCCTACAAACAGAGTTGGTTCACGTATTTTTGTTATGTATGCCGTGTTGTACCTTCATTCATTGACACCTTCTGTGAATTATGACAAAATACATTTTTGTGCAGATTACCAAAACAAACCATCTTTACCTAAGCTGTGCCATGAACAAGCACATCAAAGCTGTCAATACACAAATGTGTTCTAAAACTAGAGACACCAGACGTATACCACAGGGGAATTAGCAGTTGCTCTGGCTAGTTTTATTCTCAAGAAAACAGCTCGCCCTGATCTCACTAGTAAATGCAATTATGGCTAAAACATCGGAAAACTATAGCTTCAGAAACAAGTAGAATTGTACGCAAACAACGGTATTTTATCGTCGTAAAGTGCGTTAGTTAAAAAGAAGTAGAAATGACGTTTGTTCATGGGGCAGAAAATAATAAGCAGGAGGAACACAGTTTTATAATGATGACTTTTTCTGGAAACGGTGGTATCGTCTTACCGCCAGCGACTCAGATACAACTGGATATATTGCGGAAAGGTACCGGATTTGGATATGTTATCAAATGTTAACCATTGACCTATAGTAACGTTATATTTTGACTACCTCAGCCAGCTCCTTTTGGAGCTAAGCGGACCACCCCAGTTCCGCACAGAATGTCCACCGCTTGGGAATATCTGAGGTCACATTCAGCATGACCAGTCCACATGTTATAAAACAACACTACATATTAAAACGTATGGCCAGTGATCATTACTGGATGGATGTACATTTGAAAAGCACAAACATCTTACACACAACAATGAAATCCCAGCTGATTGAATCATGCCAGTTGCACTGAAGGCTCCCTGCAAAAACTGCTGGTCAAACGTGGGACTCTAATTCGGTATAGTGTAGCCTGCTAGTCGATCTATATTGTATACTATTGTTAGAGAGGAAATATTAAACGTGGTATATGAGCAATCTGTCTTATCCACACTCTCATATATTGTGATTCAAGCGCAGACGCCACTATTTTGTACATTCAATTGTACATTTTGTAGCAAGAAACAGCGCCGGCTTATTGATACATTTCAGTTTCAATTACACAAAAAAGAAAGTAGGTAACTTGTATATATTTGCATCCATTTTATTTGCAGCTATTTTGCAGTGGGGATGTAAAATACTCAGGTCAATCACTTGGTCTCGTAATTGCAGGTGAGTGGACGTCATTGGAGTATATTTCGAAAGTCAATGTCATGCATGAAAAGGAACTTGTGCAACAAATGTCCACTAATAAACGGTCTGGCTGTGCATTGTAAATGTGAAAGTTATTCACACAAGAGTCCAGTCATCGACTTTCACGACTATTACGGCTTTTGTAGCTTAACAGGGGAGGGGAACGGTCTGTGTGTGCGTGTTTTCCTGATCTCGTAGTGGGTGTGATCGCTGGTGGGTACGTTGATGCTGTCCCAAAGGATGTTGTGGTATGGTAGAGCTTGGATATGTCAAACATGGCGGATCTAGAGTCTTTGTTCTTCACTGAGATTTGGTGATGTTGAATTCTTACAGGGAGAACCTTGAAGTTTCACCGATATAGGACTCCCAGTTTTGTGTGGTCAACTGTACCTGAAGGTTGTGTATGGTTTACCTCCCAGGAACACAACATCAATGTTGGCTTGGTCTTTGAGGTGACAGTGATTTGGTGACTGAAGCTTTTTGTTGGCGTTGGAGCTTCTCTTTCGGTTTGAGGGCGTTGTTCATGATGCGGTCAACGCAGCTGGCAGGATAATTGTAGTAGGACTCGAAGATATGGTCCAGGTGAGTTCGGCCTCCAGTTGATCAAGTGTGGAGCAGATAATAAGGAAATATATCACCACGTCGGGCTAGTGTGGCTATTATGCGTCTTTTGACGTGTGGGGTTGATGGGTGATAAAGGTGCTGAGTGATGTGGACTGGCTTACGTTATACACTGTTGTCTTCTTTTTACACTCTGACATCTAGGAAAGTGAGTTGGTTGTCTGTTTCTTTATCCATGGTGAACTGCATTCGAGGCTTTTGGCCATTGAGGTCGTCGGGAATGTTGTTGGGATTATCATCAGGGTTGAGGATTACAAAGGCTCCTCTTTACCTGAAGATGAGGGTGATTGGCGATGTCTGAGTGTTCTGTAGTCTAGGAGAGTCATGTAGATATCGGTGATGATGGGAAAGAGGTGTCAATGGGGAGGCCGTGGGTTTATTGAAGAGTCTTGTCTTGCCAGATAATGTGCTGTAACTGATGCAGTGATTGATAAGTCGGTTGATACTGTCGGTGGAGAGGTGGGTGCCTAAGGTAACCTGGATGTCTTCTCCTCTGCTTCTGATGATGGTAACGACTTCTTCTCTGAACGTTCGTAATGAAGGACAGCAGGGTTTTCAAGGGATCCAGGAGGTGGGCAAGGTGCTGGGCAGTATTGTAGTGGACTCACTGTTTGTTTAACTGATAATAAATGTGTGAGGTGAACCATGCAGGCGATAAACTTTATGACTCTGGAGAAACCCACACATTGTGTCATTCCGACGAACAGATAAACAAAATGAGGGCGAACCGTTGATCATCAGTACACTGTCAGGTGATTTATGTGACGCAAAATCCAAATATGTGTATTCTCCAGAATCCCAGACACTCGCTGATGCAGCAGCAGACAAGGTGAAGGTCACCTACAAAGACGTCAAACCCGCCATTGTGACCATCGAAGACGCCATTAGAGAGGAGAGTTACCATGCCAACCCTATGATAGATCATAAAACCGGAGATCCGGAAGGTAAGGATGACCGTAGTTACAATCACATGCACATTCATTTGACTCTCAGACTGACAGTTGAATCGGCTACTCTAACCTGTTAGCCTCCGACCAGCACCTCTGTGAGATGTGTCCCTCAGCATGGGTCGTCTGTTCGCTGGTTCCAATCTGAAGTTATAACTAGCCCTGAACAAGGTCCACGTTTGTCAGCAGCAGCTGTGTGACATTCAACGAAGTGGCACGGTTGTCAATGTGAGCGTTGGGAAACCGTGTTCAAAGTGTATTAAAGTCATTCATCATTGGTTAGGGGGCCACAGTGATAACAGTTCTTAAACCACTAGGGAAAGTTATGTTCATTGTTCTTGGAAGTGGTTTATTAGCATAACTGCATAACTGCCCAAGGGCAAGTATTTCTGTTTAGAAACAATAAAATTGTACTCATTTTGATAACATTTATCATGCATTCAAATGTGAGTATATGAGCGCTAAAAGATGTTTTTATTCACCATGCTTTCATATGTTCAGACTGGTTGAAAAGTACAATCTTTTCAATGACTTTGCTAAATATGTTGTTAATGGCAATGTACTCAGTAAATCCAAGTGGACTAGCACTGTGTTGGAGAAAATGCACTGCATGGATATGTCCCTCCTTACCAGCCGCATGATGAGATGAAAGGACCTATCAAGATATGCCTCTATCAGATCTGTTGAACATAATAAACTGTGGCTGTTAAGTCAACATTATCCATGTAAATTTAAAAAGCTGTCGCGTATTGTCTCACTTGCATCAAGAAGACTTCAATCAAAAGAATGCTGTTGTGGTACAGTTGCTCATGATATCATTAAGCATGTGTTCATATCTTGCCGTATAAATATGATAGAAATGAACTGTATGAAAGTGTCATTGAAATACTCGATGTCGATTGCTTTGTGAACTTGTGGCAAACGATGATGACATTATGATTACATTTCTACTTGGTAGTCTTCCAGAATGTGCTGCTGACATTGATTTTGATATCTGGTGCTGCTGATTTTTTTTATAAATGCAAACATCTATTTGTGTATCACCTGTACATTAAACCTGTAATAACTATTTAAACTGTACCCTTGTAATCTTCAATTGTGGAGGAAATAAAGACAATCTATTTATCTATCTATACACTGATGAAACATATTTCACTCCAGATGCACTGAGCAAGGCTTCTCGCAAACTGACAGGCGAATGCAGACAAGGAGGTCTTTATCATTTCTACATCGAAAATAACGTAAGTTGCTGAAACTAATCTGTATTTAACCTACATCAGAGGTGTCCTACATCGGGGGCAGGGGGTGAACACTGACAAGAACTGACTTAGCTAACCCCTTGATGTATTTGCAACAATAACCAGTATATGTGTTACTTTATCAAATGCATGCCTTTCACTGATTCTCTGCAGGTGGCGCTGGCTGTTCCGGCTGAAGACCGTCTAGACGTGTACAGTTCCTCCCAGGGCACCGACATAGTTCACGCAGTCCTTTCCACAGTCCTAGGCAAACCCCTCAACTAGTACGTATCTGACACATTTCCTTTTCAGTTTCACCAAAATCAGTAAAAGGTTGTAACACCCTTGGATGCACGTGTGAGAAAAATGACACCAGGAAATGACGAAGTAGGGAAAGCAAAGTTTGCAGTGATGCATGCAAACTTTATGATTAATGATGTTTTAAGGTTTAAGGGCACCAATGTAGGTGCAACGTATTAACAATGCGATAACATAAATGATGCCAATAAATATCCCCAAAGTACTGATCTAACATTACTAGGCCTATAGACAGATTTAATGACAATGCTCAGTCTCCAGGGAAATAATAGTTATTTAGTTATTTCAACTTGAATCCGGGGCGGTGGGGTAGCCTAGTGGTTAAAGCGTTCGCTCGTCACGCCGAAGACACTGACTGACTCACTCAACAGATCCCTTCCGGAAATGATGCTGTGTAGAATATGTTATCAAGAAAGTGATTCTAAATTTGACTTACAAATATATCCCCAGTGACAGCTATGATGGTAATTATAAGGGCGGTAGAGGTGCCAGGTAAAAGTAAGAGCAGGATCCTATAGTAAGAGTCATGAATGGAATGTCATTGTGTCCTGGGCCATAACCCTATTTATAGTCATCATTAACAGGTCATGTGACCTTTCTCAATAATCAGAAGACATGTTTGATAGCTTTCATACAAGAAACACTGCATAGGTAGTGTTATTTATAACATAAGTAAGTGGTTACTAATTGTCCTTATGTTGTCCTGTTTGTCCGAATACAATTGGTACACAGTAGAAATGATCAGGAAATCGAGTCAATTTGTTATAATTAATCGGACAATATCTTTTCGCCAACGTAGCGTCAGTGGCCGCCATTTTGGTTGGTGGTCAGCTCTATGACAAGAAAGAATCAGTTTCCTATATCAATTGGTATTGTCCTTATGTGACACAGAGTGTCCGAAAAGATGGATGATGAACAAATGAGATTTGTGCTAAGATCTGACATAACAATAATAAAAGTATAACCATATATTCAGAATAGCGACTGGGACATAATAATTCGGACACTAACACGATTTACTAAAACTCTACTAAAAATTTACTAAACGGCACCAATGTCAAAACACAGAAACGACTGTCATATTGCGGGGCGGTGGGGTAACCTAATGGTTCCAGGCGGTCGCTCGTCACGCTGAATATCGGGTTCGATTCCCCAGAATGGCACAATGTGTGAAGCTCATTTCTGGTGTCCCCCGCCGTGATAGTGCTGCTAAAAGCGGTGTAAAACTAAACTCACTCACTCAATGTCATTTTGCAGGTACAAATGTAGGAAATACAGGAAAATATATAGTGTCCTTTATGCCTTAAGACAATGCATTTCTATCATAAATGCAGGAAGATATTAGACAATGAACATGTGACTTTGATAAAAACGGACATCCAGTATATATACAGTCACTATGCCTAACCTCAATGTTGTTGACAGGCCACCGCAACCTTACATATGTCAAACAGATCAAATTAGTTATTCTTTGCTATCAAGTGTGATTTTCATTGGTATCACGGGAAATACTTTTAAAAACTTCTGAGCATGAAAGTTATCAGAAAATCGTCATTAACTACTGTAGTAGGTCATTGTTTATCTGGGTCAAAAGTCGGACTTAGTTTCTATAAATAGCCACGATGCAGGAGTGTACACAAGAAATAGTCCCTGACAAATAACGTTGTTATCACTCAAAATACATTATGATTCCTTACAGTGAATAAATCTATTATTTGGAGACATGACATACATAAGCCTGTTTAGTGGTACACATTTCAAAACAAGCAACCTGTACTATAAGTATACAAAGTTATAATGGTGGGGCGCGGTGGGCGAGCTGGCTAAGACGCCAGGCTAGTGATCCAGCGAGGTTGAGGTGCCCACCTGTGACCGGGTGTAAAAACCTTGGAGTCAACTTTCTGTGCAGACTCTTTCAGTGTTGTCACAACCCCTAGTGTACAGTATACATCCCTGTGCACTTAAAAGAACCCACGAATCCGTTGGTATATGATCTGATGGTGGCCACATGAATACGTGCAAACACCTAGTTGCGGGTACAGCAACGTGCAGTGAACTTGGACAAAGTACTGTGACTATGTGTCCCAGTCCACCCAGCTGTGAATGGGTACCTCGTTAGGATGAGAAAGCCACAATAACTCGGTGCGCCTAGTGGCTGCAAGAGTTGTATACTCCCAAGGGAGTTGAGATTGATAATACGATGTGCCGTTGAGATTGACAACCAGTGATCGAGGGGAAAATACCAGCGCCTTGAGCATGCACTAGTTGCCTGGATATGTGCGCTATATAATTATCCTATAATAATAATAATAATAATAATAATCCGAGTAGAGAAGTTATCTCCAAATATCAAAACAAACAATGAATGATCACAAGAGGTTTATTTCAAAGAGTAGTGTTGGGGTGCTCCATTATATGTTTATGTTCATGAGTAGACAAACTGGGAGTAGTCATATTGCGAGTAGTCATAATGTGACGATACCACATACGCCTGTATAGCAGTACAGAATGACATCAGTAGTAATATCCTTCATGGATGTAAATAGCGTAGTAACACACAGTGGTAGTTAGGTCATGTCTGACAAGTGCTGCTACCGCAAACGTTCAGTGCTTGATAAAACACAGCTATCATTCAACAGTGAATATGCCCCCTTAAAGATGACTCAGATATGTGGACTTCAGAACAAGTTAACTGATCTTATTATTTACTTTAATGTTAACATTATGGATGGACATTTGCAATAGATCGTGATACAACGAAAATAGGTGACACTTATGATTGGGAAGGTTTTCCCCGCTTATCTTTTTGTGCTGACATTTGTTCACTCAGTTGGCACAATGAACAAACTCAAACATGCATTATTTCATTTCACATATGTGAATGTTTCAGACCTCCAAACCAAACATCTCATGCTTAGTTAGTAGGTTTACGAAACTCACCGACAAAACATTTGGAGAGAAAAGAGCCGAGATGCCCCCAGGGCCGTCCGTAAGAATGGGTGAACGACACGTGGAAATAATCTTTAGCTAACTAACAGCCCCGATCAGCTGTCTTTCATGATCTTCCCTTGGTACAATAGTCTTTCTCAGCTGACTATCGTCACTGGAAGTTAAACATTGATTAACTTTTTCCCGACCACCTACATAGAACTGAGGGAAAGTAATTTTGACAGATATCATTTAGCAACTGTCAAACATTACAAACAGGCATTCTTGAGGATCCACTTTGATGAGATATGAATCTTGTAATGAGCCCTCAAGACAACAAAAGGATCTATATTGAATCCCTGGTTTGAGACTTGAGAAACCGATCGTCATCGCGCAAAAGTGAGCAATTTTGCTTTTACAATTGATTTTCCTCTTTGGTTCAAGCCAATCAATAGATCTGGTCAATATCTATCAATATCGCTGGTATACTCACTCCTTATTGGAACCAAATGCTCCCATAACAAACACTACGTGCTATAAAGGACTGTGCTCGTCCATATACAAGTAATTATCCAACGTAACCACTGCCTGTGAAAAAACGCTGCCTGTAAAACGTTAACTGTGTTTCTGTGTTCAGCTTCAACGTGTGCACTCCTCGAGTAGGCGGGGCATTCGGGGGTAAATCATTTGGCGCCCTCCCTGTTGCTGCTGCAGCTGGTTTGGGAGCCTACAAACACAACAGGTGAGCACGTACCTGCTTCATGTACTTACTTCAGCAGATATTATGCTGTAATAATTTCACTTTTGTATTGTTATATGGACTGGATAAAACAACTTAAGCTGATTATTCCCAGGCCAGTGAAATGTAATGTTGGCCTGTCGGCGTCGATGAGAATGAACGGGAAAGACCTGCTTTGTGGGCGAAGTATGAGGTAAGTAGATTACGACAGTATCTTGACACCTTTGGTAGAGGGTGGGGTATGGGGAGTTTTTGTACAACCCAGAGTACAACCCTTTGTTGTGCCATGATCCGGTGTTCGTGTGCCCGAAATGCCTCATCGTCTTGATAGGGTGGTCAGAACAATAGTCTTGCCCTTTAGTCGTGAAAAGGGTCTTCGCACGATACGCTGTACCAGACTGATACAGCGCTGTACCACACTGATACAGAGTTCAAACCAACTTTACGGACAGAACAATTTCTGTCCCTTACCATTCACACAAATGCGCATGATCTCCTACCAACAGAAATATCGTTTCATGAATGTTGTCGTCCATGATTGATGGGGAATATACAATCGGCTATCTAATAAGCCACGTAACATATGTTATATTTGACATTACGCTTTGAGTTAGTTATAACCGTAGTTGTAGATGTACTGAAATACGAGGGTTTGAAGGTTCCCATTTATTCAGAAACCACAAAGTGGCGCGTAAGACATTTTCACAGTGACTGATATCAACATGTATTTATACAGTCACGTAGCATACTGAGGTACACGCCTTTAATGTCAGTTTTCTCCTCGATGTACCTTGAACAATTCTGACTTCTATGACAGGTGGGGTTCGACGACAGCGGCCGCATCGACGTCATCTCTTTCGAAATTTACGTTAATTGTGGCTACACTGCAAACTTTGCCTTCATATATCACGAAATCCTAACTCATATTGACCAAGGTAAGTTCCTCCTCCACAGAAAATATATAAGTCTGATATTGTGTTAGAATGACATGTTTTGGCGTCAGTGCTGTTTTACTGTTTTATCTAAAAGTCATCTTTGGATGTTGTGACCTTTCGTGTTTGATGTACGGCAATATGTCTTGCGTTCATTAGCCGACTTATAAATTCCAATTCAACAGTTTTCAAGAATGAATCTACTTTTCCTAAACGACTATTTGGTCACTCTTTTACGTTTGTCACGCATTTTCCAGGGTACCACATCCCCAACTGGAGAGTGAAAATAATTCTTTGTAAAACCAACAGAGCACCCGGAAATCCAATGCGTGGACCAGGTATAATGATTAAACTTTTATCCTTTGTATGTGTCTTACGACGTTTGTATGTGTCTATATGTTTACATTTGATCATTCATGAATGATGGACATTTTATGAAGAATTTGCACTGGCATTTCATTACAATGATGTAAGGGGCGGCGGGGCAGCCTAGTGGTTAAAGCGTTCGCTCGTCACTCCGAAGGCCCAGGTTCGATTCCCCACATAGGTACAATGTGTGAAGCCCATTTCCGGTGTCCCCAGCCGTGATATTGCTGAAAGCGACTTTAAAACATTTATTCACTCACTCACAATACTGTTTGCTATTGACCTTTGTAATGGCATGCCATATATGTGAGTATATAGTGTTATCCTTGTTCAGGCCCCTACCCAGCGGGATTCCTCATTGAGGCCGTGTTGGAAAATGTGGCCCAAAGTCTTGGCAAAGTTGCAGCTGATGTGAAAGAGGCCAACCTTTACAAAGAAGGCCAGGTAAGATGCCAGCAAGCACATGGCATTACATGTGTGTGTATGACGACACGGGGTATACACGATGGTGGTGCGTGTTAATTCTAAGCTGAAACTAAACGCTATTGGGGATCAGTCCGCAGAGGAACTCTGCCTGAAGCCACCATAGAACAAATGGATGTGACATAGTTTATCAATCAATCTAATTCACAATAAAAGTATTGAAATACTGTGGCAGAAGTATTCAAATGGCAGAATAATACAAACGCAGTAGTCGATCTTCCAATAACAGTAGCATCCAGGGTAAGGATAATCTCCACACAATTGTAGTATCCAGGGTAAGGATAATCTCCACACAATTGTAGTATCCAGGGTAAGGATAATCTCCACACAATTGTAGTATCCAGGGTAAGGATAATCTCCACACATTTGTAGTATCCAGGGTAAGGATAATCTCCACACAATTGTAGTATCCAGGGTAAGGATAATCTCCACACAATTGTAGTATCCAGGGTAAGGATAATCTCCACACAATTGTAGTATCCAGGGTAGGGAGGATCTCCACACAATTGTAGTATCCAGGGTAAGGATAATCTCCACACAATTGTAGTTTCCAGGGTAAGGAGGATCTCCACACAATTGTAGTATCAGGGTAGGAGGATCTCACACAATTGTAGTATCCAGGGTAAGGATAATCTCCACACAATTGTAGTATCCAGGGTAAGGAGGATCTCCACACAATTGTAGTATCCAGGGTAGGGAGGATCTCCACACAATTGTAGTATCCAGGGTAAGGATAATCTCCACACAATTGTAGTATCCAGGGTAAGGATAATCTCCACACAATTGTAGTATCCAGGGTAAGGATAATCTCCACACAATTGTAGTATCCAGGGTAGGGAGGATCTCCACACAATTGTAGTATCGAGGGTAAGGATAATCTCCACACAATTGTAGTATCCAGGGTAGGATAATCTCCCACACAATTGTAGTATCCAGGGTAAGGAGGATCTCCACACAATTGTAGTATCCAGGGTAAGGATAATCTCCACACAATTGTAGTATCCAGGGTAAGGATAATCTCCACACAATTGTAGTATCCAGGGTAAGGAGGATCTCCACACAATTGTAGTATCCAGGGTAAGGATAATCTCCACACAATTGTAGTATCCAGGGTAAGGAGGATCTCCACACAATTGTAGTATCCAGGGTAAGGATAATCTCCACACAATTGTAGTATCCAGGGTAGGGATAATCTCCACACAATTGTAGTATCCAGGGTAAGGATAATCTCCACACAACTGTAGTGTCCAGGGTAAGGATGATCTCCACACAATTGTAGTATCAGACAGGTTTTATTCAGTAATGTAGGCACAGTGGCCCATAGTACAGTTGAATTTTCATTTTAACAAATATTGGTCACGTGACACGAAATTATGGTTTTACATGTGATTTAAGGATGGACATCAAATGTTTTATGAAAATGGCAGCTGATTTAATAGTGTCATCGTTATTAGAATTAAGTATTTTATATATCGTTTGTGGGGCATCATTAAAGCATTTTAGATACTTCTTTCGGCCAGCAGAGAATGCCTCACAGTCTAATAATAAGTGACGTTCGTCTTCAGTTTTACCAGAAGAACAATGAGAACATGATAAATCTTCCAATGTATTTTTATCTTTTCTATAACGCTGTATTTTTAAGGCATGTAGAGATTCTAAATTTACAAAAATTTCTTAAAAGGGACTTATCATTAAGGACCCTAATATATTTTCAGGTCCGAACATCGATTTACATTGTGAATAATGACTTAGAAAACTCGATGAATTTACTGATGCGTGCCAATTCTGAATATATATATCTTTTATTCGTTGCTTAAAGTTAACAAAAACATTTTATATCACCAACATCTTGCTTAAACCAAACATAAGAAAAACCGCTTGAAAATAACACATTTCGGACACCAGAAGCCCAAGAATACTTTCCACGTTTGTCTAGGGATAATAATAATTGATAGCTTTGATAGGGGTAGCGATAATCAGGCATTCTTATAAGTTTAATCCAGTATCTGATAGCTCTCATTTGACTCTCAATATGCATGCTATAGCGGCCTGTATCGCCAAGTACGGCTTTGTTGGAAGCAAATTTACCTACAGTAAGAAATCTTTTAAAATATGATGCATGCACATTTTCTATAGCTTCGAAATAGTTTACTCCCCAAATTTCAGATCCATATAACAATATTGGTGCTATTTTAGTGTCAAAAGTAAGCAAGCTGAGTCAAATGAAATAAACTTATTAGCCTTAAACAGTTTAAAAATAGGAAATAATGCCTTCTTAGCTTGTGCTGCAAGGGTTTTAGATGCCATGGACCAATTTAATCGGCTGGAAAATAGAAGACCCAAATATTTATAATATGAAACAACATTAATACTTTTGCCACGGAATAACCATTTTTCAGAATGTGCCACTATACCCCCATTTCTAAAGACAACTATGTTAGATTTTTCCATATTCAACTCTAGTCCCCATGTGTCACAAAATGTTTGAAGAATATTTATCTGTCTCTGCAGTCCGTTTACCATGAATGAAAACGTAACAATATCATCTGCAAAGAGAAGCAAAAGTAAATCTTTGATTTGGGGAGTAACAAATATTCCATTATTACACGATTTATACATATCATCTACAAGTTCATTAATAAAGAAGATGAAGAGTACGGGGCTTATTACACAGCCTTGTCGCACACCAACGGAAGTGTTAAACGATTCAGTGTTGCCAGAATTAGTTCTAACACAGGCTGCAACAGAGTCATACATGCTTCTTAAAATATTATACATTTTGCCATGGCATCCTTTGGTATGTAACATAAATAGCAATTTCTTACGGTCAACAAAATCAAAGGCTTTCTTAAAGTCGATGAAAGCGCAATAGAATCTCCCTTTTGGTCTGCAGAGGTACTTTGTACATAATGACTGTAATATAAATAAATTATCAGTTGTACTATAATCGGATCTAAAACCAGCTTGAGCCTCGTCAAGTAGCTCGTTTAGATCAACCCAGGCGCGTAAACGCTTTTCTAATATATTAGCAAATAATTTTTCCAGAAATGTTTAGAAGAGATATTCCACGATAGTTGCATGGTTCTGATACACTCCCAGACTTGAATAAAGGGACAATCATACCTATATTCCATACCGATGGGAATTTACCACTATCAAGAACTACATTAAATAAATCTTTCAAATATGACACTAAAGAAGTAAAAGTAGATTTGTAAATGAGGGAGGGATACCGTCATGCCCCGCTGCCTTATTCCATTTCAATTCATTTATAGATTTTATTACCTCATCTTCGGTAATTGGAGTTGACAAAACATCATGCGAGAATGAAAGCTCTTCACACTCATCACAGTTATGCGTTGAGACAAAATCATACACTGATTTATCAAAATCTGAAAGCAGTTTCGTATCTCTACAGGAAAGGAGACCTTTGAAGTAATGATACCATTGGTACGGAGAAATATTATCTGTGAGAACCGTTTTCTGAAGATGGCGTTTTAACGTGCTCCAAAATATCTTACAGTCAGGATTTCTTGCTGCTATTTTAATATCATCTGCAGCTTTGGCTAAATAATTATCTTTTTAATTGGCAACATTTTTTAAAATTTTGTTTTGCATTCAAATAAGAATCGAGGGTTAGAATCGCACTTATGTTTTCTGAAATAGTTTAAAAGTCTGTATTTTTCTACGACTTAAGTTTGCCGCATTCTTGATCAAACCAAGGAGGTTGGCGCGATTGACGGTGATAGGGTGAAATGAGTCTGATGGCTCCAGCTCTAACGCCTGATAATTGAAGTAGGGATGTAATTTCAGAAATGGCAGAGTTAACATCAGTATACAGTAGGTCTCTGAAATCATTCAGGATACCATTCTTTATGCCATCTACCAAGTACATATGAAAACTCTCTCTCTGGTCCTCCGTAGTTTATACCCTACGGACTTGAACATGGGTACTGTATCGTTACTTAAGCAAGGCGCGGAGGCGATTATGTCATGGATTACACAAACAATCGGGGAGGTGATCCGACTCTGTGCGAGGTTTAACCTCAAAACTATCAATATTGTTGAACATCTCAGATGAAATAAGCGCATAATCAACAGTACTACAACCGGTCTTTGAAATGTAACCCAAACTTCCGGGGATATCAGGCAAACTTCTACCGTTCACAATGTGTATACTCATCGATTTACACAGCTCGAGTAAACACTTTCCATACATATTTGTGACAGTGTCATATGAATTGCGGGGTTTATCAAAGTTATCCGGTGCGTAATCGTCACCAACGGGTATATAGTCGGAACCGTCATTTACTATAAAATCTGGCTCACTCGCTGTTCTGGCATTAAAATCACCAAACAAAATAAACTTACTGGCTTCCCCATAATCAAACAGTACTTGTAAAAGTTTATTTTCTAATATGTCTATGCCGTTGTCTTCTGACGCTGTATACTCAGGCGATCTTTCTGGGTGGATGTATACAAATCCAATAAATATGTGGAAGCGTGCAGAGTCATCTGTTAATTTGAAAAATAAACAGTTCTCCCAGTCCATACACTCTCTGAAAAAGAAGAAATATTCTTCCGAATAGAAACTGATATACCACCTGAATATCTGCCAACATTATGTCGCCTGGCGGCATTGCATACAAAATTATCAAAATTACTGAATGTAGCGTCCAGGACGTGCTGTGCATCAGGACTCATTGTCTCAATACAACTGAATACATCATGAGATTCACAAAATGATATAAAGTCAGGATCTGATATTTTGGTGTTTATACCACAGATATTCCAAGTACAAAACTTAGATAATGTGAAATACTTATCTCATGATCTTTAATATAAAGAAGATTCATCAACGGGGCCACCGCCAATTTCCTATCTGGACCCTTGAGCAGACGACACATCGTGAGGGGAGTCAGCCTGGTGATGAGCAGACGACGTGTTGTGTGGGGAAGCAG